AGACCGGAGACCAATAACCCCAGGGCCGTCACAAAAACGAAAGCGCGAAACGGCTGACCAAGGCCTACCACCATCCGAGGCTCCGGCGAGCGCTGGAGTCTCACAATCTTGAAAGCATCCAATCGCTTTTCGATGTTGCAGTCGATCAAAGCGATTAGTGGAGTCAAGGGGAATGCGAGAGTGAACATCATTACGAGACCATATTGTATGACAAGCTCGATGGTCTCTTTCACTTGCTCAAAAGAGGTGTCGCGTGTCAGCTGATCTGCAAGCTGGTCAAGCATCCAACCTTCAGGGCCATGCTGACTTCGAGCGGCATCCGTCACTTCGTCATGGAAGTCGCCAGTCAGCACCACAAGCATTCGTCTCCAAATTGTTTTCTCTGCATGACGAGGATCCATGTTTGCAGCAGCTTCGCGAATCTGCTTCATCCAGAGAAGCCAGTAAAACTCCAGCATGTTGTTCACGATCGCTCGAGAGAACACCATGATGAACATGACCTGCACCCGGAGCTGCTCCATGTTGCGCTCGGCAAATGCTATCCAAAGAAGGCTGTTGTACGTGTTGAACAAGGCAAACACAAACAGCCGATCAAACAGGTCGCGCTCTTTGTCGCTGTCCTGTCGGAAAAGCTGGTACTCGTTTGTGAAAATGACAACTGCGTGATGTAAAGTGTTCAGCAATGGAACGAACACGCTCGTCGTAAAACCCATGACCATGTACCCAAGAGTTGAGTTGCTCAGCCCCAATACATAGTTGGCTGCCAAAGTACCATATGTCGCACCACAAGCAAGTACTATGAAACAACCACTTGCTGCATAGGCAAACAAGGACCGCCACAGTTGTGCGAACTTGCCTTGGTAGCATGTCTCATCGAAATGTGCTATGTCGTGCCGTAAGGCACGGTTGCCAAAGTGGACAGAGGAGCTTGGAGCTCGTAGCACGGCCCGAAGTGCGTCCAGTGTCTCTTCCTGCTTGTTCATACCAGCCTTTTCAAAGTTCTGGCGCCATCGGCTAGCAAACTCCGGACGCACCTGTGCCAAGCCCTGTATGGTGCTGGAACTTCTCAGGTCGTCACCTTCCTCAATCCAGCCATTTGCCCAGCTGAAAGCGAGTTGGGCGGCACGTCTTCGCCAAAAAATGCAAAAGCAGGCGCCCCAAATGCACATGCAAATACCAAAGCTGGGCCGGATGATCTTCCAGATGGCGAACTCTGCTTCTGCATTTGGGGGGCCGGCAAGTTCTGCAAAGATCCCGGCAACTGAAGCCATAAACAAGAAGCTGCTGTAGGTTTCCAGGAACTCGAAATAGCTAGCGGTCTTCGGGCCAAAATGACGCAATACCAGTGCCGTATCACATCTGCGAAGTGGGATGAAGTATCGCCAGCCTTTGGCCCTCCACGGAAAAATGAAACCGTTCGCAAGCTGCAGCAATCCTGCAGAGCTCTGCAGATTCACAAGGCCACCTTCGATGATATCATCCGCCCGCAACTCCCGTGGATCTAGGTTTGCTCCGCCAGGCATGTGGCTGCTTCTTCCGTCTGGCAGCTTGGTGTCCACCAGTGGATCAGTCACCAAGCACTTGACCAAGTATCGTCTTTCAGAAGGAGACAACAAAGAGGAAGGGTCGGCTTCAGAAACTGCTGAGCAGAAATACGGTCGGTAGTGGTACGGCTTTTGAATGGTTTCAGACCAGTACTGCTGCAAAGGCCCGCCTTGATCAAACTGCGACGGCGTGAAGCCCCCAAGAAACTCGTTGCTCCGATTTGGCAGCACTCTTCGAAGCATTCTGCGGGCTTCGGCCTGCTTTCGCAAGATTCCTTCAGGGGCTGAGAGCAGCATGACCTGCTGCCCTTGCTGGCTTACCGGAAGATCCTCGCTGTCTCGATCATCGACCTCCAAAGCAGATGCAAGGCCGGATGCTCCTGCCTTCACAGCCTTCTGAAGTTGAAGTCCACGTTTGCCTTTCATCCCTCTCAGAGCCCGGGATGCCAAGGATGCTGCGCGCAGTGTGTTCTGAGGCTTCAGGCGTTCCGACTCGAAGACTGCCAGGCCCACGCTTCGAAGCTGGGTCTTTAGAGAGGCCCTCTGCATGGCCCGCAGACCGTGGGCTAAGTGCGACAGCTGATGCCGCAAGCTCTCCTTCAGCAACGCCCCAGGACCTGAGATCAAATGTGGAGCCACGTCTGCCGCAGCCGGTCACAGACTTTGCCAGCCTCAAACGAACTGAGTTGGCGACTGCTGCGCACGTCTCCATTTGCTCAACCGCCAGGAGGACTTCTCCTCACTCATGAGGCAGCGCCACGGCACCAGACTGCAACTGTACTTATTGCAGTTATCTTGCAGATCACGCAGAACGATAACAGGAGTTACACACACACACATACAAAAAACACACACACACACACACCCGCGCGCGCGCGCACCCACGCACCCACACACTCTTACGGAAAAGTTCGGACGAACACTCTCTCTCTTCTTCTTCCTTCCTTCAGGTAAAGGGACAAAGCCCCCCGGCCCATAGGGCCCCCCGTACCTCTTTGTGCGGGGCTTTCGGGGAGTCTACTGTACACTCTCTCTCTCTCTCTGTCTCCGGCCGGCTGGCTGCCTGCCTCAACACCTGTCCGATGTAAGCTGAGAGGCTTATAAGAACATGATCGTTGATGTTGATGTCACCGACGGTCATGACGCCTTCATCGTCCCACCTCGAAAGGTCCAGCGTCATGTCCATTTCCTTATCTTCGATCTCCGTGCGGACTATCTCGCCCAGCTCTGCACCGTCAACTTCAGTCTGGTTGGTGGTTGCCAGGTCTGCTGAAATGGAGGTGTGGGTGAGCTTTCTTGACCTGGCCGCAGAATCTCCGAGCTCCGACAGCCGCATGATGCCTTTGCAGTGCACAACTGCCAATCTCTTGCTAGCGCAGGGCAGCTTGCAGGTTGCCGGAATACTGCTGACCTCGTGAAACATCTGACGGCCCTTGCAATCACTCGACTCAAGATGCAATGGCCACCGTTCTTGCACTTCTTGCCTTGCGCTTCTAAGCCACTGTTTCGGAAGACCTTCTCCACCGAGCGTCTCATTATACTCGCAGGCTGCCTTCTGGAATGCTACTTCAACAGCGGCGAGCAAGACATTCTCCCCCCCGTGCTGCTCGCAATGAGCATCTGCTTCCTCTTTGGTAACCGTCGTGCGGAAGGGCAGCTGAAATGGCTGTGGCCGCATCGTCGCCAGCAGACAACCCAGGGCTTCAGCCCGATCGCCACAGTCTTTCAGCTTCTTGTCGAAGCGACGGTGAACTCCGAATGGAAGCAATGTTCGTCCCGGCTTGTCACGAAGCTTGATCTCTGTTGCATGGGGCGAGAAAATTTCATCGAAACAGTCCCAGAAGAGCCACGTCAAGACTGCCCGTGCAGTCCTCCAATCATCTGACATGATGTCAGAACCAGCCTCCAGGCCGAGCAGCGTCGGAAAATCCACTTCCGGCACAGGCAAGTTGTACGTAGGGTATGGTGCTGGTGGGAAACACAAGGCAAAATCAAAGTGGTCCATACGAGCACATGGCACATCGCAAAGGGACTTCTCCGAAGAATCAGTGGCCTCCAGTCCGTACACGAATAACAATGTTGAAAAGGTGGTATCACTCCCCCTGGCATATCCGAGATCCTGGAGCAGTGGATCGCTGCTAAGGTCATATGTCAGGTGGCACCATATGCTGCCCGTGCTTCCCATTGCTGGCAATGCTTCCAAATCCTCCTCCTGCACAGCTTGGCCACGTATGGTATCAAGGGCCACCACTTTCATTGGCATTGCAGGCCGCGTGTCCCTGGCTTCTCCGACATGCCACCCAGAAAGGGTTCGTTCACACACACGTGCAAACAATTCATCCGAGGATGCACCTAAGCCTGCAGCCAGCCGCTGCAATTCAAAGGGCACATTGCCGTTGGATACCCAGGCCTGCTCCTGCTCTTTTCGGCAGCGCCGCCATTCTCTCTCAATCCTTTGCACAATGGCTCGCTCCCAATTCGCGGGAAGGTGCGGCTGCGCGCTTTCGAGCCTCACGCATGACACGTTCCAGTGGAAGTGGAACGGGAGCTGCGCAGGCAAAGAAGGAGCTTGCGGCACCGTCCCATCCGCGGGAGCCCCATCTCCCGACTTCTCGGCACTCGACGGCCGTCCGTCTGAGTGCTGTCCTGCAAAGGTAGAGGACTGGCTGGGGGCGACGGGTGTCAGCTTCAAGCTTTCAGAAGTCGAGGCGGCAACGCTGGCGTCAGCTTGCTTGCCCAGCACAGCTGGACTTCTGGAAGACTGCAGGCTGCTGTTACTCTGTTTGGCAGACCCTTTGTGGAAGACCTTTCTCTTCTTTGCAGCTTTTTTCTTGGCCAATGGTTCCGCTTCCATGTCCTGGCAAGGGACTAGCTGTTCTTCCGTGTCTTCTTCTTTGCCAACCGGCGTGCTCGGCACAGCCTCTGCGAAAGCAGAAGTCGGGCTCGGCTCCATCTCCACCTCCACCACGGCTTGGTCTGCCTCCTCACCCACCACATCCGAAGCAGGGGCAGCATGCGCATCTTCAACGGCGCCACCATGGGGTGCATCGGTACTGACCTCCCCGACAGGAATGAGCGTGGCAGCGCTAGCAGCTGCATCGTCCTCCAAGTGGGCAGTAGTCCGTTCTGGTGCAGCCTCCACGATACAAGCATCGGTGACCTCGGCAAGCCCTTCTGCAGCTTGGTCCCGTGAAGCGGGCGCATCCTCCGGGAATTGCATCAATCCTTACATAGACTTAGACGCCGTCGACGAGAATGCAGTGTCGAGGATTCTGGGATCCCCATGGCAGCATACAAATGACAGCAGCATCAAGCACTGCATGCTTTCATGATCACAGGGTCTGCAGCATCAGGCTTAACTCGGGATGAAAGGTTGAAAGCTTAGCGAAAGGTCTTTGTCCATGGAACCTTCAGTTCGGTCCGACTCTTTGAGTCTCGCAAAGTCCCGCCGAACACTCACCCATGAAGAACACAAGAAAAAGCTCCGGGGCGCATGAACCTTTGCTGCCAAGCTCGTGTTTTGGGGGTCCGAACATGTGCAGTGGGATCTCCATCGGCGGCACGTGGATAGTCCATAGAGACGCCGATGGCACGGTAGACGGGCATGGAGACCTGAGGCTTCTGACTGGTGCAGGGGCAGCCTGGCAAAGTGGCACTCCTTGTCTGCTCATGATCGTGCACATGACTGTCTTAGACAAACCTCGCCACGCACATCGTTCCATGGCGGTCAGGGGCACGTGAAGATCACAAGCCACACTTAAACTAACCGCAAGCGAAGAGGAGTAGCACCGTTGAGGCAGGGCTTGAACAAGCACAAAAAACCTCCCTTGTAACCTCACCTTCTCCTTCTTTGCGCTGCCCTGGGCAATCAGCGAGTTGTGCTTCTCGATGTAATCCAGCAAGGCTAGCACTAGCCTGCATTGCAAGATGCACAAGAGTTGTCTTGCGGCCGGTGAGGTTTCATGGTCCTGGCCGAGCGAAGTGCCTTCGCGAGCGCTGGAAAAGCTCCGGCTCGAGGCATCCCCACGGACAGGGGCCCACCTGCATCGAGGTCTTGTCGGGCCCAAAACTTCTGACTCTGTAACTGGCTTCGTCCTATCGTCCGGAAGGGTGAAGGCACCCCTCGGGTTTGGAAATCGACTTTGGGGCTGAACGGGCCCCAACGAAGGACAGAAGAAAACCATACACTCCACGTGCACTGCCCCTCAACTCCTTTAAACTGAAGCCCCTCAAACAATCTGACTAATTAAGCAGGAGATCAATAACAGTTACGACAACGACAAAATTCGTGACGTTCAGTGAAAGCCATGCTTTTGCTTGGCGATGCTGGGACTCGTAGCGCGGCATTCGTGTAGTGGCAGTCACACTTCCAGTACTGGGACTATTGCTAGTGTTTCAGCAGGAGCCTCGAAGGTCAGGCCGCTCCGACCCACGGAGGGGCAAAGGGCCCAATCGGGTTGATCGTTCCACTCTACAACCTAAGTCAGCGGGACGAAACTAGAACTAAGCGATATATGAGATGGAACCAGAAGTAGTGCCCATGATTAATATGAAGATGACGATGGTGATGATGATGATGATGATGCTGATGATGACGAGGGTGATGATAATCACGCTTGGTGTTGTGACAGTGACGGGCAATACTCGTAGTCAGAGCGATGGTAGTGGTAGTCGTCGCAGTCGTAGCCCTAGCCGAGTCACACTAGTCGTAGCAGCAGCGGTAGCAGCAGCAGCAGCAGCAGCAGCAGCGGCGGGAGGAGAAGAAGGAGCAGTAGCAGTTAACTTTCTTGTGGGTCTGGGTTTAGGGGCATAAGAAGTGTCCTAAACCTCTTTTCAGGACCTTGAACCCCATAAGCGTGTGGAATCTGCTGCCCCCAAATAAGGCAAAGTCAAAACACCTCTGACAAAACAAAGGTAAACTACCCTGTGCCAAGCCTCCCAAGCCCCGGGCTTTCGCTTCAAACGAATTTCTGGAAGGCCGTAAGGCAGTATTTATTCTCTCAGTTCTCTCCACTCACAAGACAGTGTAAAGCATTTATTCAAGGGCAAGTCCCTTTCGGGATTGCTTGACTCGGGGATCATTCTACGAGACAGAACCAATCGAGGAACACATGTTTTCTGCAATCAGAGAAGACCGCTTTCGTTCTCTCACACTCTCTCTGCTTGTTTGGCGTGAAACGTGTGTTGTTGATTTTGGGCTTAGATGCTCCTGAATCTTGAGTCTCGAAAGTCTCAGTCTGGGGCGTATATGGTCTGTCGTACGGCTTTCTTTTATTAGGCTGAGAGGGAGGGGGGGGGG